CTGAAGAAAGGCAAGATCTACTCGCGCTTCCCGATGACTACTCACTGGCCCTTACCATCCCGGCCAGTATCAAAGATGCACCAGGGTTGGCATCCGTCTTTCGAAGGAAGTTTGGTCGAGTTGCAGAACTTTAATGCCAAGTGCCAGCTCCTGGTAAAACCTTGAAACTTCAAGATGCATCACGTTACCTTTTCTACCTGGTAACAAAAGACACTGCCCGTGACCAACCTACCTACCGAGATGTATGGGAAGCCTTACTTCAGTTGAGAGAGCACGTACTAGAGTCCGACGTACAAAAGTTAGCCATGCCAAAGTTGGAGTGCCGCCAATTAGATTGGAGGGTTATACGAAACATGGTGGAGGAAATCTTTAAAGACACCGAAGTCCAGGTGTTAGTCTGTTGCAATCCGCATAGTTACTGCTGCGGAGAGAAAACCGTCCCTTGTCATTTCTATACAACTGGAAGTTGTAAAAGATGGTCCAGTTGCCGATATCAGCATGTCGTTCCAGTTCCAGTCCCGACAAGGTTCCAGGAGGAACCATCTTTTAAGAGGGGGGCAATGTTACGATTTTAAATGTTATGGCATATAGAACTGTAAATATTTTATGACTAATTCTTTTTTATTGATTCTCGTAATTTGTAGGTCAAAATATACCTGAGCTTCGCTACCAGTTGTTTACAGAAATCTCTAGACACTAATTTTAGTGAGTCATCCACGTCTCGAGGTTGAAAAACGAGTCGAGCGCCTTCACCAAAATACGAGATCATTCCAGTATTTTCGACAATGGTCAGGTCAGGTCTAGGCGGTCTTACGGTTCTTTATATAAGAACGAAATTTTATTGAAGAAGGCAGTCATAAGAAGATCGGTAAACGCGATATTTAAATGTAACGAAACGTGAAATAAATACATTTGTAAAGTTATTTAATAAATTAGTAATTAGCTATCGTGAGTTTTAATAAATTAGAATATAGACAATAAATTAGAATAAAGACAAATAAATTAGAACAATAAAAAAAAACTTAACAGTATATACAATTTTTATACCAAATTTGTGATAAATGAATTATGTTAGGTACTCGCTAAATTTGCGAGAGGGGTAAATTTTCAATTTTGACAGCAGATATTTTGGTAAACGCCAATATTGTATGCAGCCACATCCAGATGTGACAACAAAAGCGAGCAAAAGAAAAGTAAATAGAAAAAAATACTTATTTTTCCGAATTGACATATTTTGTGATTTATTTGTAATACAAGTATTAATTTTAATTATTATAAATGCATATAGTGTAAGTGTGTATATACTTCATCTAATTTACTTACCATTGCACGTCATCCGCGTCATAGTCCGTGAGATCACATGATACCAACACGAAATATTTAGGTGGTAGGCATGATACTATAACAAAACAAGTTAAGTCAACGCCCATGTTTTTGTGACGTAAGCCCGAGACAACTTTAATGACAGCAAGTTAAACTTTAACAGCAGAGCAAATGTTTCTATGGATAATAATAAATGTTTCTATATAATAATATATACTCATGCCCACTTTAATAGAACTTGAAGTAATACTTTATTTTTGATAGGTATTTAAAAAGTTACTTTGGATGTATGTAGTATGTAGTGAACTAGAACATATTTTTCGTAGTTATAATGGCGACACATTAAAAATAACAAAAAATTATTTAAAAAACTTAATAGAAGCTACAAAATATGTAAATGTTAGCGAAGATGTAAAATTACTTTTTTTGGATGTTAAATGTTTTTTAAAATACAAATTCTAAATCAAAATACTAAAAATAATTACAATATCCGCAAAAGAAAAATCACAAAGATTGTAAACTAAATGTCCAAATGATATTCATAAAGTCTCAAATATGACCCGCTTTTCCTTTATGGTCAAATTCTTTACATTTTGGCGGCCTTTTATATTAATTTATGTTTTGTAGCAATATTTATTTTGTTTGTAATACACACAATCAAATCGTAGATTCATATATTTCTTTAATTAATTTTACAAATTACTTATTAATTTTCAAAACACGTTTTCACAGAAAGTAACTATAGTTATGACTTCTTAGTGCAAGATATGGCATCGAGGTATACTTACCGTTAACAGTTTAAGTTTTGAAGTTGTTCATTAGAGTAATGGAACAACGTTGCCATATGATGCATCGTTAAAATATGATACATACAAGTCCCCTAGTTTTGTCTCGCTATGACGACATGCGCAAAGTCAATTAAAATTAGAACAGCAAGTGAGCATTTATATTGTTGTTATAGTATCATGGTCGGTAGGTGTGTTCTTTTTTAGAATCACTTTGTCGAGTACACTGGCATTATAGCCACTAGGCATATTTTGTTATATACGCGTAGAAATAATATTTAAACATTTCTATTAATGTTATTTTAAAGGAATACACAATAATATGTTTCATTTAATTTTTATAAATGCATTATAAAGCGTTTTTATGAAGAACATTTGTTCGGAACACAATGTAACTGTAATCGAACGAAGGTGACATTTTTGCATAAATTAATAAAACTTATTTAACAGTTGCGGTCTTGACACTTTTTGTACTTTATTATTTTAATTTTGAAGTGAATACTTCTTGTTTTATATTTTTACCTAGTTAATAAATTCTGTTCTTTTTAGAACAAAATTAGTGTGTTTTATTTCAAAAATGTCACGTAAGAATTTAAATAGTCGTTGTAAAGAGATGGTAATACTTTTGCAATAATTATGTCACCTATTTGATTTAAAATGGAAAAAATTAATTTACTACATGTTTTCTTAAAAAATTACGAATGATGGCGCCATCTATATATCTTATACTTAACCAAATAAAGATCTAATTATATAACATAAAATTCACGTTTCTGTGGTGTTACATAATATAAACTAATTAATTAGATACATGAAGTATATAAATTGGTAATCTAATTAATTGTTTTGTTTAAATTCTCAATAATTGAGAAAAGAAATTATTCATTGTTATTTCTAGGAGTGTACGCAATTTTCACCAGATGTCACTAATAGGGCGAATAAATTCTTTTTATTCTCTAAATACCTGAAGTGAAAATTATTATAATATCGTTATCTCATTTTTTTTCCTTACTTCTAGACTTATTCAAATATGTTGATTACAAGCCTAAGTTATAAGATGGCGTATCGAATGTATGGACCTAGATATTACAAAAATTGTATACATTAGCACATGTTGAGATGTTTTAGTTTAGTATACTTTTTGTTTGAAATTTTTAACGAGACGTGCTTTAAAAATATTGACTTTTTGATAATGCAATGGTCCATGATGTAGTGTGAGTTGCATATACTTGGCGCATTTAACGCAACTGAAGGATACATTATTTGCCTACTGATTTACTAACCTTTCTAAAGCCCTAAAGTCTTAAATTTCGGTAATAGGATCTTCCTGTTAATAAAATCCTTCAATATTTTAAGCTTTATATAGGTATTTTTCTTATATGTTTATGCTTTTTGGTAGGTATATAGATTCCTCTTGGTGTAAGGAGAACCCTATTGAATTTGGAGCAATATGTCTTCTTTTTCTTATATACAGCCGATCACTCATTGGGATAAAGGCAAAGAAAATGATGATAAGGTATTCTGCTCCTTATATCCCTATTTTGAAGGCTTTGAGGCTCTCTTTCACATTCTTGAATTTTTTCTATTCATAAGGTAGGTATACGATTTGAGATTCGGTGAAATTAAATAATTTTCTCAATATAAATTGTTTTTCAGCCATTATTTATTTATTTTAGCAAAAATAAAGGAAATCCCTTTAAATGCTTGTCATATTGTGATTTGTTGTTATTGAAAGTAAAAGATTCTATTGCCGTGTTGGCCCAGGGCCCAGGGAAGTGAGTGATGAATCCTTGAAACCATAATTTAAACGTAGAAACGAATTTCCAATGGAACAAAATTGCATCCTATTAGGAAATATCATGAAAAACATAATGGTATTGTTCGTACTAAAATGTTGTTACGTTCATATTGTTGGTGGCCAAATGTGAATGAATAAAATTTAAATCCTGTTGTAATGTATGTCAACAATATCAAAATTTCACAAATTCAAACAAGGAATTATGTCCGTGACTATCAGCACCACACAATTTTACAGAGTATAATATAGATTTCTTCTTAAAATTTCAATACACTTTTTGATTTTATTGCTCAAAAATCAAAATGGTAAGATGTCAAAATTGTCCCACTAGACATATTTTATTATATACGTGTAGAAATAATATTTTAAGATTTCTATTAATGTTAACTTTAAGAAATACACAATAATATGTTTCATTTAATTTGTATAAATGCATTATAAAGCGTTTTTATGAATAAAATCTGTTCGGAACACACTGTAACTGTAATCGAACGAAGGTGACATTTTGGCATAAATTGGTAACACTTATTTGACAATTGCGGTGTTGACACGGTATTATTTATTATTCTGTGACACGGTGTTGAAAAAAGTGTTGTTTTTGTTAAATATTCCATTTTACATCTTCATACGACGCATACAAGCGGCTCAAATTGTTTTTAACAAGATTATTTTTTAACTCTTGTTTTGTTTCTAGTTATTTACATTAAATATTAATTTGTTTTGTTGTATAATCCACTTTTGCAATAATTATGTGACCTATTTGATTTAAAATGTATTCAGGATTTTTTATACTTTGGCAACTATGTCAACTTCGATCTCTGTCAATGATAATGACGTGCAACATTAAGTAAATTAGATGGACTGTATATCAAAATTAAGAGATATGTTTACTATATCGAGTTAGAATCGTTTACTATAATTGTAATACTGATACTCAAAGTAATGGTGCAAAATATATACATACAATGCTCACATACATAGTCATACATACTCATACAATGCTCACTCTACAATAAGAAATGTAGCTTTTAACTAAAACAAAAAAAACTATTACCACGTGAAAAGAACGAATAATATTATTGCCATTTTTTATTGAAAATATAAATATATACATTCAGTCAACAAATAATAAAAAAAATTTATAGAAAACTTAAATATTTCTACCTAGATATAACTTTGCTACGATTGCCTTTGGTATTTATTTCTATAGCAACGTCAATAATGTCATTACCCAAGAAATAATCAGTAGCTACGATATTACAATCTTTACCAAATTCATCTCTAAACCATTTAGTGATTTCTCTGTTAGTATCTTGAGCCAGTTTTCGTAAATTGTAGGTGTTGAAAACGATGTCGATTGGTTGAGGTGTCAGTTCTGCCATCAATGACCACAAAGGATTAGTGCGTCTAGTTTGAGCATGCTCTGCAATGGACGTCTCCATGTATTTCTTCAGTTTTGGCAAAGACTTTGTATCTGCCCAAAATTGGGAAAGTGGATACCATAGCCAGGGTTTTCCTAAAAATAAATTTATTATAAATATTTTATAGAATATCTAATAATATCTTTTAACGTTCTTAAAATCATTGTAACCATACAATCAAGCTATTTTCAGTTGTTTTTCATTTTAATATATAAAGATATTTTAGATTTATGTACTCAGGTGGTTGATACACAATCTTCCAGACCACTAGGTATAACGGGTTTCCAGCATCTTAACATCTCCCAGCACAGATCAATCAATAAGCTTAACTGAAATACAAAACGTTATAGAAATGGAATCAGAAGAGTTATCCCGGGGCGGACATCGGTTCCGACCACAATCCTGTTGTTGGTAAAATTTCAATTAAAACTAAAGAAAATCAAATACAGAGAGAAGATAAACTCTAGCCTCGAAAAACTTAAAGATCCAATAGTACAGGCAGAAATAGAGAAAACACTCAATAATACACTCAAAGAAAAGTTCAGTGAAGTACTCGCGGAAGCAGAAGAAACAAGAGAAAGTATTTGGCACACCTGCAAAACAACAATTACAAATATACAAAGAGAACAACTACAAGACAACATAAGAAAAACAAAGAATACATGGATGACAGAAGAAGTCCTAGAACTGATGGACATAAGGAGATCTTACAAAAATCACAATGAAGCAAAATATAAAGAAACCCAGAGAATCATCCGAAACAAAATTAGGAAAGCCAAAGAAGAATGGATGAGCAGCAAGTGTGAGGAACTGGGAGATTTACTAAAAAAGCATGACTACCTTAACGCATACAGAAAGATTAAGGAAGACACAAATATGAAGAAACAAATCAATCAAAATCTTCAGACGTTAACAATATTATTTAACAAAATATATACCACTAGAATCTTCCTAGAAGACTGGCTTAGATCGTCATTTATACCTATAACCAAGAAAACTAAAGCAAATAGATGCTCACAGTCTAGATTAATTAGCCTGATGAGCCATTTTCTGAAACTTTTACTCAAAATTGTACATCAACGAATATACAGAGAATGCGAAAGAAACCTGAGCGAAACCTGGCTTTGTACAAGGAAGGCATTATTTGGCCTCCAGATATTACTACAAAAATGCCGAGATCAGCGAAAAGACGTGTTTCTCTGTTTTATCGACTACGAAAAAGCGTTTGATCGAGTAAAACACACAGAACTCATAAAAACCCCACCACAACATGGTATAGACCAGTGATTCCCAACCTGTGGTCCGCGAACGGTTTTCATGTGGTCCGCGAAGTGAACAGTCATAAAATAATCAATTTAAATCTTGGTTCTTGAGGCGTAAATTAATGCGCCGGCCTATCTTTTTAACTCAAAACGTTTCCAGACGACCAAGCGCGCCTGAACACAGGTTCATTCGCCTCAATCTCCCGCGTATTTTCCCTCACGCGCCAAATAGTTAGTTGCATTATCTTCGTTTAGTTTCGGCCGCTGTCATGTACGTACAGGACACTGCGACTGCGACCACTGCGTTTTTGACCGCGCCACTACTCAGTGACTCAGTGCTGACTCAACTGTCAAGTGACGAGCGTGCGTCTTTTTTTGGTTTGGTGATTGTAGTTTACTAAAATGAGCAAACAGATGAAACTTTCGGGTTTTTTTAAGAAGACGGATAGTGAGAACGTTAAAGCAGGATGTTCTACTAGTAATATTGCCAGTGATAGCACAATATTAACTCAACCTGGTCCTAAAAGAAAGGCTGCTAACCGTAAGTACAATCCTGACTACATAGCATGTGGATTTACATTCATTGAAGAATTTGGTGTCCAGTTACCTCAATGTATAATTTGTGCGGAGGTATTAAGTAATGAGGCAATGAAGCCGGCAAAATTAACTAGACACTTTGAAACAAAGCATAAAAATTTTGCCGGAACACATGTAGATTTCTTTAAGAGGAAGGAGACGGAACTAAAATCTTCAAAAAATATCCTTAAGTCATACTCAACTTATGATAAACCTACTTTGATGGCATCATATCAACTTTCACTTAGAATCGCAAAAACCAAAAAACCCTTTACTGTTGGTGAGGAATTAGTTTTACCATGTATCGTAGATGCAACTAAAGCAATTTTAGGTGATAAATACGCTAAACAAATGCAAACTATTCCTCTTTCCAATGACACCGTTAGTATGAGAATTGAAGAAATGGCATCAGATGTTGAAACCCAACTTCTAAAGAAAATTCATTCCTCAAAGATCTTTGCTGTACAACTTGATGAATCTACAGATATTACCAATAAAGCTATTCTTCTTGTTTATATACGATTCACAGATAAAGACAACCAAAAATTATCTGATTAGTTCCTGACCTCGATTGAGTTGCAAGTTAACACAACCGGAAAAGACATTTTTAAAGCCATTGACGGATATTTCACAATTAAAAATCTTTCTTCGAAATACTGTGTAGGACTTTGATCCTATGAGACTGGCGTTAACTTCTTTCGATCCAAATATTGAGAAACTTTCAAGTGAGAATCAAGACCAAGGGAGTCATTAACGTCTTAATTTGGCGCTTTCTATGACTTTTTATTTTGTTTTTTATATACCTTGTGTCTTTCACTATGTATTTTCTTTTTTTATTTTGTAAATAATAAATTCATTAGTAAAATGTCAGTGTTCATCTCATTTTACCTATTATTAGGAAATATTAATAATAATATCTAAGTGGTCCGCCAAGAGTTCTGAAAGGTACAAGTGGTCCTCAGTGATGAAAAGGTTAAGAACCACTGGTATATACCATAACACTGTAGCACTTATTAAAAAACTATATTGGGATTAAATGGCGTCGATCAAAATAGACATCTAACAGCAGAATTGCCAATAAAAAGAGGAGTTCGTCAGGGCTGTGTACTGTCTCCGCTGTTATTTAATATATATTCCGAAAAGATCTTTCAAAATGCCCTCGAAAGTATTAAAGAAGGAATAAAAATCAACGGAGAATACGTAAATAACTTAAGATACGCAGACGACACTGTCATTATTGCGGACAGTGCTAAGGGGTTTACAACTACTTTTGAATGCCATAACCAGAGAGGAAGATAGCTTAGAACTAAATATAAACACAAATAAAACAAAAGTAATGGCTATTACACGTGCACCAAATGTCGACATTAATTTTCGTATCTGTAAGAAACATATAGAATCAGTACAAAGATTCCAGTATCTTGGTTGCTGGATAATAAACGATCTTGACCACGAGGTCGAAATACGTACTGGTATAGAATATGCTAGGTCCGCATTTCAACGAATGAAAAAATTCCTAATGCCGGGTCCAGACCAAGCAGACAAAACGAAAACACAATTCTGAAACAAAAACACGATAAACCGGCAACAAAATTTGTCGTCAAAAGACAAAACAAAATTGAGACAAACTGTCCACACCAGAACAACAAAATATAAAAACAAATTCAATTGGTGACGTTATTGTTGTGATTAGTGTTGGTTAACCATGAGGCGTTTTAATCAAGAAAAATATGAAACTGAAGATTTGTTGCTAGCCGCAAGTTTTTTTTTGCTCTCATCATCATCCCAGGTTGCTAAAAGAAAACCCAAACGTTTTTGGATTAGACCAAGCCTAAAAATGCGAGAAAGTTGTTCGATAGAAAAATTGTTAGTTCAGCTGCGAGCAGATGATATTGGACTAAGTGGTGAAATTTGATTGGCTTCAAAAATTTTTTAAGAATGTCCACCGAAGATTTTGAGAATCTAATATGACTTGTTGGTCCTACAGTTGCAAAATGACATACTAACTTTAGAAATGCTAGGAGTGTAACAGAAAGGCTAGCAATCACTTTAAGATTTTTAGCAACAGGTGATTCCTACCACAGCCTAATGTATCTTTCAAAAGTATCAAAGCAATCAATATCTGTAATAATACCTGAAGTATGTAAAGCTTTAATTAACAGTCTTAGTGGTTATGTACAGGTATGTTAAACTTTTTTCATTACTATTTTTCTGTTAATATCCCTTAAAATAAACTCTATATTTATTGGCTAAATGTTTAATACAAAAGAAGTTGACGATAGGTACATACTACATGCAAAATAATGACGAGTCTACTTGTTTTTACATTCAAAAACTTCATCATCAATTTCGTTCGTTTTCTTGATCTGAATACTGAGAAAGCTTTGTGTCAATACTAGGTGGATGTGAAAATAAAGGTTGTGTGTTGGTGTTTGGTGGATTTAATAATTTTGTGGGTCACCACTGGGTGGATTTGAGTATGAATGTTGCGTGTTGGGTGGATTTGAGTATAAATGTTCAATGCTGGGTGGATTTGTGTATAAATGTGTGTCAATGCTGGGAGGATTTGAGTATGAATGTTGTGTGTCAGTGCTGGGTGGATTTGAGTACAAACGTTGTGGGTTGGAGTTGGATGGAGTTGAGTGAACATTTGTGTTGAGACTAAGTAACAGAAAAATACACTTAATTTTGATAAAAATTGTACATTCTATTTCTCCTACTGCTTAACTCGTTTTGGCACGCACACACGTCCACACTACGCCGACAACTTGTCGTCAAATACAAAGACAAAACACAGACTTTTTGATCTTTACCGACCTGAGACGGGACCTGAAAAAGTTTTCAAATTTGCAAACAAAACAAAATTGTTCAGAAATGTCTCAACAAATGTTTTCGATTTGTCGCCACTTTGTCGCAAAACATGAATGTTTTTGTTTTGTCTGTTTGGTCTGGACCCGGCATAATAAACTCTACGTTATCGTTGGATCTCCGATCGATACCAATTTGTAAAAACGTTTATTTATTCCATATTGCTATACGGAGTGGAAACATGAACTCTTTGAATTACAAGTATGAGGCGTATAGATGAGGCGTACAGCCTTTGAGATGCGGGTTTTTCTAAGGATGCTGCATATCTCTTGGACAGAGCACGTCCGAGCAACAACGAGATGCTAAGAAGAATGGGTACTGAGAGAGAACTCCTAAATATTGTAAAAAACAGAAAAACGAGTTATCTAGAACATATTTACAGAGGAGAAAAATACAACTTCCTACGACTTATAATGGAAGGGAAAGTGGAAGGAAGAAGAGGTCCAGGAAAAAGGAAATGCTTCTAGTTGAGAATATAAGAGACTGGACAGGTATGGACACATTCGATACTAAGAACAGCTCAAGATAGAGAGCAACTTGCTGTAGTTATAACTTCAGTAATTGAGAAGGCACCTTAAGAAGAAGAAATACAGTACTCTAGCTGATTCGATATATAGAAAAAAAAACAAAGGAAAAAGCAAATAATTTTTGGAACTATTATTTGGATTATTCTAGATCTCTTATATAACTCGATTTTCAATGTAAAGTTTCCAAGGCTATCTGTTGATACATAGTGATATTAGTGGGTATTTTAGTGATAGTTATGAGAAGATTCACACTCTGAATACTGTGTGCCTAATAAGTTTTAATAAAAATACTTCGTTATTTTGGAAAAGTGGAAAAAAACAAAATGTATATAGTAATTTAAGATAAGATTTAGTGTAGATAAGAATAGAAATTTGTTTGGCAAACGACTTTGTCCGTGTCCAACAAAATTATCGAAAAACCCCTTTTGTGTAGAATTAGAAGACATTTTACCTGTAAGTTAATCTTGTCATTGTTTGTTTATTAAATGACCATATTCTAATCTTTGGAAACAGGTATAGATTGTGTATTAACAGACTGAGGACAAAAAAAAATCAATTTTATTTATTCTTTCTCTGAAACAGTAATTTGGTTTTACCAAATGATACACAGAATTTTTAGAATAAACATTAACAGTAGTAAACAAGATTTGAAACTTTTGATTGGATAGTCATTTTTAAAGGGTAATGGGGTTAGCCTGATTAGGAGATCGGGAGCGAGGCAGTTGTAATTTGGCCATCGAAGGAAACAGTCGTTTGTTTAAAGATAGGGTGTGGTTCGTGAGTTTGGATACCGGCATTGTGAAAAGAAGTCAATAGTTTTGCAGAAGGAGATAACAAGTAGATTAGAAGAGGTCCGTGTATCTACCGTGGGCATTTTGTGAAGTATATGTGAAAGTAGTGTTACGACATCAAGTTGACAAAAGGAGGTCCTTGTGTCATAAATAAGTAGCTGAGTTTTTGGAGAAGAAAATCAGGTATTTTTGGGTAGTCTGCAGGAGGTTTGTAGAGACGTTAGGAAAGAGCCGAGGTGCCAAAGAGGAGAGATCATATCGTTGAGGAGACTGAACTTTTCTGGGTATGTTCCAACATATAATTCAATAAGAAAAAAAGCTGTAAGTGTTTTGTACAATTGAAATTGGTATCTGTGAAGGATATGTGTTGACATTATGATCATTATCATTCAAATTTAAAGAACTTAGTTTTGTTAGACTAATCAAAAGTTTAAAGTTTTGTTGTTTTTTTTTTGTTTCAAGTAAAGGAAAGTTTAAGTAAAATTGGTTTTCACTTAATATAAATATATGTAGATTTAAAATCTTATTATTATAAAAATTTCATTTAAAATCTTGTATGCTGATTGATAAGATAACGGCAGAATTTGATAATTGTGTTATTGTTTTTCATCTAAAATAAAAGAATACTTAATTTTTTGTAATATACTATTCTCGTTTATTATTATCCTTCTTCTCTATCCCGATAAAGAACGACTAGAAAATTTTTGAATCTATCGAACACAGGGAATACAGGGTGAGTCATAACTATTTGGACATAGACTAAGGACAGATTATTTGGACCAAAATATGGCTATTTGGCCAAATATGCCTTAATAAAATGTTGCTGAAATAAAAGACACTAAACTAGAAATTGCTATCAAAATTGGCACAGAGGCATAGTCTTAGACAAGAAATAGTATTTTATTTACAATTCCACTATCAAATACCAAACTAATAAACAAAGATGCAACTAACGTAAGGTTTCTGTTTTGACGATAAATCAAAACTAAACACACTTTAACTTAAAAGAACTCACAAAAACTTAAACTAAATGTTCTACATGGTCTCCTCCGTTTTCTATGCCTTTTCTAATTCTTTTTATAAAGAATTTTCGGACGTTAAAAAAATATTATTCTATCCCTTTATAAGATTCGCTGCATTTTGAATGTATCTCCAAAGTTCGTCTCGTATATTAATTTCATTGGCATAAACTAAGGACTTCATATGTCCTCAAAAATAAAAATCTAGCAGGTTGTACTCAGGACTTCTTGGTGGCCATTGAAAATCACTGCCTCTGCCAATCCATCGTTGAGGAAAAACGTCATTAAGATGATCTCTAACAGCTAATGAAAAATGAGGTGGCGCTCCATCCTGCATAAACCACATTTTTCTTTTTGCATCCAGTGACAGATCATCTAAAATATCACTAAGAGTATGTTTCAAAAAGAATAAATTATAATCTCCATTTAAATGAAAAATGAGGTGGCGCTCCATCCTGCATAAACCACATTTTTCTTCTTACATCTAGTGACAGATCATCTAAAATATCACTAAGAGTATGTTTCAAAAAGAATAAATTAGAATCTCCATTTAAATTCGGAGGAAGAACATAAGGCCCTAGTAGTTGGTCGCCGATAATGCCACACCGAATATTCTATTTAAACTCATGCTGAAAATGTCTAGCTTTAATAGCATGCGGCTTTTCTTCTTCTCAATAATGACTATTTCGCCAATTAAAGACTCCTCGTCTTGTAAAAGTTGCTTCGTCGGTGAACATAATATTCTTAATAAAGTGTCTGTCATTGCGATGTTTATTCAGAATAAACAATAGACAACTGACTTACTCCTGTTGCGGCTGATGGATGTCGTGAACTTATTTCAGGATTTTCATCTAATCGAACCAAAAGTTCATTTTCTTGATTAGGTGTGATTTGTTTCGGTCGACCACCCCGATTTTTAGTGTGAAATGACCCAGTTTCACCTAAACTACGATATAATCTTGCAAAAGTTTTGTGATTTGGTTGCCTTCTGGTTGCGTATAACATTCCATACCTTCTGGCTGCTGAGCGACCGCAAAAATTTTCTTGTGCGTATACGCAAATCATATCTCGCATTTCTTCATTAGTAAAATGATTGTGACGAGGCATTTCAATCAAAAAAAGTAATGATTACTTTTAAAAAATGCAACATTACACTACACTACCACATCAAAAATAATTTACTCTGAACAAATGACATTTACCAACAACAATTATCTGACAGTCCAAAGCAAATTTTTAATGAATAAAATAATATTTGTAATCCTTTTTTAAGACTTTAAGCAGTTCGACTGCGTTTTTATCTAAAACGGTTGGAATTATCATGTTTAAACAAGACTACCAATTTTACGTAAAAATGATGTTTACGTCATATTTTCTAATAAAAATTACTAAAAAGTTTCATCAAAAAAAGTTTAGACTCAATTTGATCATTAGGAATGATCCACGTAGCGCCCTCTATGACAAAACGTAAAATTGTAAATAAAATACTATTTCTTGTCTAAGATTATGCCTCTGTGCCAATTTTGATAGCAATTTATAAATATACAAGGAAACTATTAGCAAAAAACGAAAAACAAAAATTAATTTTAACACCCTGTATCTTTTTTCTCAGCAACATCTTATTAAGGCATATTTGGCCCAATAGCCATATTTTGGTCCAAATAACCTGTCCTTAGTCTATGTCCCAATAGTTATGACTCACCCTGTATAGGGAGTTTATTTTACATTTGATAACAATTAAGTTATATTTTTTGATTGGCTCAATAAAGTATATATATATATATATATATATATATATATATATATACCTATATATATATATATATATATATATATATATATATATATATATACCTATATATATATATATATATATATATATATATATATATATATATATATATATATATATATATATATATTGTTGATCTTCTACAAAATATACTTACTATCGACCAAATTAAGATCTCTTGCGGCTTCCACAACTTGCTGATTATTATAAGCAATAATCAGACTCTTATTAGTAGCCCAGATTTCGTTTAACGTCGGTCCCTTACGTCCATTATACAAAGGTACCGCCAAATCTCCCAGATCTTCATTCACAATTTCGATAAATTGTGTATGCAGATGTGGTGGGAACTGGGAGGGGTGGGGAAACCTGTGGAAATCCAAAATCACGATTTCATTCGGAGAAGCTTCCAAAAATTTTCGAATCTGTCGAAATAGCGGTCGGACTTCTTGGATTTTGAATTTGTCGTGGTTTAGGAAAAATCTGTAAAAAAATATATTAATTTTCCAATGTGAACGTTATATTATTACAGAAATACATTTTATACATTATAATTATTTAATAACACATCATATTGTTGTATTACTCGTTTAAATGAACTCCAACTTTTTACTTCATTCTTCCTCCTTTCAACAAGAGAAAGAAGGAGAGGAAAAACGTATGTTTCTTTTACTTCGGTTATTATGTCTCTACAACATGGTGAACATTACCTGAAAGAGGAGCCAGGAATATAACATCCTATTCAGCTACCAAGGAAAATCACAAGAACATATCTACTTGGAAACAAGTAATATCCAGTTGACGTACTAGTTAGCGGTTGGACCAACGAAGGACATTAAAGGACGGATATATATTGAAATATAACAAACATAGGCTGTAAAGTTCAATCTAAAATCAAGAGGGTACTGCAAAATACTCACATGGAATAAATGACATGAATACAGAAGAAATAAAAAAAGGTAATCATGAATGCTAATGCTCCTTACATAAATCAAATAATAAGGACAAAAAATCATAAATAACTGAAAATAATCCATACCTATAATTTTACACAAAATAAGTGATATGACCTGAAATTCTATCGCCGAATGATAATATTCAACTATCTGTAGACTATAGAGCATATTGGGATGTATCATCTAGTCGGATTTCTTATGGTGCACTCAGGCTAACGTTAACTCAAATATTTGTTTAACACATTTTTAAGCCGTACCTAAAAAATAAAGTTAATTGCAGCTATCTACTAAGGCATATAGCTGTTGGGATGTAGAATTCCATTCCATCGCCAAGGTATACTCTCATCTAACATTTCTGGATAGTCTGGCGAAGTAATTGATTTATGCTTATAGTTTTTCATATGTAGCCAGGGGATCAAACCACTATTCATTTCTGATGGATATATCGACATATGCAGATAGTATTCATTCCACTTTCATTCCAAAGTTAAACCATTTTGCCTGAGGTAAAATCCTTCGTCAACGTATTGCTGAGCAGAGTGCGTTTAATAAAAATTATGTTTGTTGTTTTTATCGAACTCCTTACCGAGTGCCTCCTTTTTGCACAGAGGGGGTGGTGCTATATGGTTCAGTCTTAAAAAAGACTCTGCAAAAGGTTCGAAAACGGTTCTGTTGGGTGAACTGTAAGGATGACGAAAGGAGATGGTGCCTGAAATGTGAACTGTGTGCAACCAGTAATGGTCCAGTTGGTAAAAAGAGGGCACCCATAAAACAGTACAATATTGGTATACAATATGTTACTATGAAAAGAGTAGCAATCGACAATGCAGGTCCATTTCCAGAAACGGATGATGGAAATAAATATATCCTGGTAGCCATGGATTATTTTACGAAATGGACTGAGGCCTATGCGATACCAAACCAAGAAGCTGCTACCGTTGCAGAGGTACTTGTTAAAGTTCTTCAGCTGATTTAGTGTTCTCTTGGAGATCCACTCCGACCAAGAGCAAAACTTTGATTCAACCCTCTTCCAAAAATTTTGTAAATTGATTGGTGTCAATAAGACCAGAACGACACCCCAGCATCCTCGATCAAATGGAATCGTCGAGAGGATGAACCAATGATGGGTAAACACCTGTCCAAAGTTGTATCAGAACATCAAAGAGATTGTGACCAGCACATTCATTTATTCCCAATGGCCTACCGCTCGGCAGTGAATGAAAGTACAGGCCAGACTTGTTCGAACCTACAGGTCGTGAAGTTCGTATGCCCTGCGACCTAAAGTTTGCCTGCAGACCCTCCGAAGAACATGTTGCAAGCGAAGAATATGTTGACCGCCTGAAGTTAAGAATAAAGAACATACATGAAGTTGCCCGACAACACATCCAGTTAGCCAGTGCCAGAATGAAAGATCAATATGATTCTCGATGCAAGAATGAAAGCTTTGAAGTAGGTGATCTTGTTTGGTTTTATAATCCACAACGTCGTTGATACTTGTCTCCTAAACTGCAAAGACAATGGAAAGTCTATATGAAATTAAAAAGAGAATAAATAATGTAATATACCGAATTAAGAAGTTGCCGAAAAGTAAACCAAAAGTAGTTCAACTTGCACCTTATGCTAGCTCAAATGAAACAGAAGAAGCAAGAATCCTTCAACATGAGATCAAAGATGACCGGCGACCAAGCTTTAATGAATTTATGTCAAATTACGCAGAGAGAAAGAGTAAAGAGTGCTAAATTCGGCGTAACCACACAAGTTCAGCAGGATCTTTTTAGTGTTCTGCATAACGTCTCTCTAGCCCTGTATTGCCAAATACGAGATGACTAAAGGAATCTCGTCTGTATTCTTTTAGAAGTTCGGTTGTTTGGAAGAGTTAAAAAATCAGCAGCCTATAATTGGAGGAGTACTAAGATTAGAAGACGGTCCTCGATCTTTGCAGTATATCGTGACCAGGAAGTCGTATACAGACAGGGCAACCCTCGAGCACATATGGCGTGCTCTAACTAATTTGAAGAAAATCGTGTGCAGTTATGACATCAAGAATTTGGCCTTACCCAAGATAGGCCATGCACTAGAAAATCTGGTTGGGAAGATTGTCAGAAGCATGCTTGAAGTGATCTTCCGAGAAACTCGCGTTCGAATGATTGTGTGTTGCATTAAACCGAAGGGATCGTATCCTTCAAAGGCAGTACACTGTGATTTCTTTAGGCGAAGAGTCCTGTAGATTCCGCCATCCTGGGCCTTCATGTAAAGTTACTGATCAGGACGCTCAGATCTAAGAGGGGAACAGTGTAACGAACAAGCTTATTTGTTAACATGTAACAGTTGCATCCCTCGAGACGATGATGTGTGTTCGAGAATGTTCCTGATGTATCAATACGCTGACAGATCGAGGCGTTCATACAATCGAGAATAGAGGTGGACTATTCCAGATTATTCTAGTACTTAATAACTTGTGTATATAAGTAGCGCTGATATTAGTTTGGTTAACTGATAAGATATTATCGTAGTGTAAGCTTATAAATAAATATATTTACATAAATTAAAACTGCTCGTTTTATTGGTAAAACGCAACAAAAATGTGAAAAGAAATTCAAATTTTCTGAAATGCATTTTATAAGAAAAAGTGCAGAGATAGATGGCGATGTAAGAAGATCCTAATGAACTTGATGATCTGGTTTACAAATATATCACACAATAAAACATGATTGAACTATCTACTTACCCTTCAGCCCCATAGTATCCTATCCTGAAATCTAAATACCTAATTCCAAAAACTAATTGAGTCCATATGTCACGATCTTGATTCAAAATAAACTTCTCTTGAAATGTCCCTCCGGCTGTATTTGCTCCTGAGTTATGAGTGCCTGGTATCATCAAGTCTTCTATGTGGTGAGACCCTAATATGTTTCTAAAAGAAATAAAAGTTTACTTTAATAAATACCTTCAATTTAAAGATATAGGAATATTTAACGGACGCGAAAGAAAAAGAGAGATAGATAGATAGATAGGTAGAGAGAGTAGGAGTGAAAGAGTGAAGAGTATAAATAAATAACAGAGCCATTTGAAAGCAAAAAGTGGAAAATAGAAGATAATATTGGTAAATATATTGAAAAGTGTTTAATAAACATTAAGGTGTAATTTGAGGAATAGTGTAAAAAAAAGTAGTCAATAATCAAATTACACAAACAGATAGTTTTCAATTGGTGAAAAGATATCAAAGCAGTAAATGAAGACTTCATTATGTAATACTTCTCATTGGTAAACTTTAGTCTGACATCTTTGAACACAAATATTTGAAAATTAGCTTTAAAATCTTAAAGACGATGTTTAAACCTGAAGATTGTACATGCAATAGAAGTTATTTCTCTCATACGTCTCACATAATTTTTCCAGCGTATACACACCATTAATGTTTACCTATTGTCGGTCATCCATGTTGGCTGAATGGCGAGGCATCTTGAATGTATGACGTCATTATTATTGGACGAAGCTATCCAGTATGGGAAACAATGGGGACCGGGAGCTCTGGACGTTTTTTCGTCTTCCAAGTCCCATCCTCCTGGCAGATACGGTTGACCGAATTTTACAGTGGTTTTTATATACCCACCAGGATAGTCACTTGGTTTTATCCTCAATATGATACCATGGTCCTCCTATAAATTAACAAGATTAGTTACTATTTACTGAAGTATAACGATGAGGTGTGGGCAATCAACGCTGTGAAACAGTTGATAATTTGATCTATGGACTTAGCAGCCAGTGAATTTGGACACAAGGTTTCGCAGGGGATGTAGAGATAGTTAAGTACAAATTATTAATTGATAATTAAATACGAGGAGAATTGTTTTAGTAAAAAGCATATACCTATTTGTTTTCTCTTTTTTGTCTAGGCATCTAGAGCAGTGACAATTATGTTAGTCTCTTTCAAGCCTAAAATCAGTGGTGGCCGGTCAAGGTCGGCAGTGCCGACCCACCCCTTTATAGATATTATAGATTTTTTTATTATTTAATTTAATCAGTATTTGAATAAATAATTGTGGCAGGTAATCAGTTGATGTCATTTGTTTTTGTGAAATAAAAAAATATCTGTGAGATAATAAAGACTAAATTTAATTCATGGTTTTTAAAGGAATTCGATCAATTCGACCAGACTAAGTTTTATTCATGGTTTTTAAAAGAATTCGTCCAATCTGAGCGTTAAGTGATCCCTGCGTAGACACTTTTCAAATTGATAATCCGATATCGGAGACATCCATCCGGCTGTGAATTCTTAAAAAGGCACATTTTGTTTTTTCGGTAAGCCGATCCCAACCTTGACGATTTACTTGTAAAAATCAACGGAATATTAGTTGATTAGCAGCCAAATATACATTTCTTTCCATATGAACTTAATTACCAAGTATGGCAAATTTAAATTTGCCGATGTTTCAACCAATTGGATTGGTGATTGGTCGCGAACTGTACATTGCGAGCGAGGGATGAAATGTTATTTCATAGTAAAGTGAAGTGATATTCAGTGCCTTTCTTTTTGCGATTTATTTTTATTTTCTAAAGTAATACTGTGATATGTTACGTCTGCCGTAAATAGTTAAAGGTTAAAGGGTTTTTTGACATATTAGAAGTTTTTTTTTTTTAATTAAAGTGTAAACAAATTCAGGTAAATTAACCTAAAAAATGCAAGTCATGGGAGAAACTGTAAGTATTGATAAGTCTGATATTGTAAATTATATTTTGCATAATGGGTTTTCATCTATTCCATACGAAGAACAAATTAAAAATAAGGGGCGTCCTTTGACTAAAATGTCCCGGCTTATAAATATCAGTGCGGGTAAGGGAAGTAATACATCACTTTCAGATAATTGGTACAGCAAGTACTCATGGCTTACCGGGAGTGAAATAAAAAACAAACTTTTCTGTTGGCCTTGCATTTTATTTTCGACAAATAGGGGCAAACATCAAAATCCGTGGTGTAAATCTGGTTGTGATAATTTAAAGGAATTATTTAGGGCTTTACATAAACATGATATTTCGAAAGATCATACTTACAGCCAGATTAAATTAGATTTATTTGGAAAACAAAATATCTATGTTTCATTAGATAATGCCCAACGTGAAAATGCTATTAAACATAACGAAATTGTAAAAAATAATCACGCAGTTTTACGTCGTTTAATAGATATTGTAATTTTTTTTAAGTTGTCAGGAATTATCTTTTAGGGGACACGATGAATCGGAGCATTCGTTAAATCAAGGTAATTATAGAGAACTAATAAAACTGTTTAAGAAATACGATTTGGAATTTTCTAATTTACTTTCTGATTCGAATACATTTAACGGTGTATCTAAAACAATCCAGAATGAATTAATAGAATCAATTAGTTACATTTTGAGTAACGTTATTGAATCTAAGATTCAGGAAACCATTTACTTATCACTAGAAGTAGATGATACTACTGACATATCATGTCATTCATAATTATCAATTGTTGTTCGATACGCGTTGCGTGGTAATATCTATGAGAGGTTTTTAGGTTTTACAGACGTGAGTAAAAGCCATAAGTCAGAATATATTTTTGGTGTTTTTAAAGGCCAGATTAAAATTTTTTGATATCAAAAATAAATTGGTAGGACAAACTTATGACAGCGCTGCCTTGATGTCTGGTGAATTAAATGATCTCCAGGCAAAAGTTAAAACTATTGCACCGCAAGCTTTATTTACTCACTGTCATCGGCATAGAATGAATTTAGTTTTGCAGGATACATGTAAAAAAATTAAAAAATGTCGTCTTTTTTTTTGCCAGTTTAAGCGGATTTGCTTCATTTTTCTCAAGCTCGCCTAAACGAACTAATGTTTTAGAACGGTTTGTTTCGAAAAAAATGTTAACAGTTTGTCAGACGCGTTGGAATTTTAAATCTCGGTTAGTTCTCACTGTAGCAGATTTTCGTGAACATCTTTTGGAAGTTTTTAATTTTATTATTGAATGTGACGATTTTGAAAGTGATGATATCTCGATCTGTGAAGCAATCGGTTTGAAAACTTTATTAAATGATTACTCTTTTAACATACCTACTTTTAAATATTTTTAAGAAAGTGTTTACCCAAACCGATTTGATATTCAATGTTGTTCAAAATCAGTTAACTGACATTATTCATTCCAAAAATAGAATAACAAGACTGGTGCAAAATCTCAGAGATTTTCGTAATGATAGTAATTTCCAGTATATACGCAGTGACGTTTTGGACTTGCTTGATATTTCCCATACCCCCAAAAAAAGACAAAGGCATGACACAGAAACAGATCTCGAAAAACGAGTATATTTTAAAATTTTGGATACTATTATTATGCAAATAGATACTCGTTTTTCGAATTTTGAAGATTTGCAAATTTTTGACCTCTTTGACGATTCAAAATTTAAAAGAATTTCCAAGATATTTATTAGACAGGTTAATTAAAAATTATCAATCATTCTTTATTAAAATAAAATTAGAAAATGAATTAAAAGTTTTATATGCTGATCCAAATATTTTCGGAAGATGGGATAAGTTACAAGATATGTATAATTTTGTATACTGCAATTCATTACAACAAACTGGAAATTAATAAATTATTGTCATTAATTCTCTCATTACCACCAACGTCTGCCTCAAATGAACGAGATTTCTCTTGCCTCAGAAGAATCAAAACGTATTGTCGAAATACCATGAAACAAGAGATAATGTCAAGCTTGTCTCAAATGTCAACAGAAAAAAAAACTTTTAAAATCTCTCCAAAACTCTTATAAATTTTACGATGACGTTATTACCCATTTTGCTACTTCCAAACAACGTAGACCTGAGTTAATTTATATACATGTTTAGGTTCTATAATAATAATTTATAGGAAAAAAAAATAAAAAACAAGAAAACAAAAAATCTCCTATGACGATTGAACTCTTTATTAGACGGTATACCTATATGAGGAGACAAAAATACCTTGCCAACCTTGTCTCTCAAGCCACGAAACGCCACTGCGCTAAAATCTTACCCCACATAGATTGATGTAATGAAGCAAGAGAGGACTTTTAGAGCTTCATCAAAGAAGGAGAAATAGTTATCATATGACTATGTGGCGCATATACACCAGCAAAACTAGTATAGACCTAAGATGAATCCTCGAAGACCTCATAATACAGTTACTAATCTCTATCAAACGTTTAACTCTATTTTATAATTAGTCAACAGAAAAAATGGTGCTTTTATCTAACAAACACGTTAACACTATTTTACATATTTTTAGGTGGTAATTAGTAGTTAAAATGAGTCACGGATCCCTAACAAAGTGTGCATTCAGTGTATCGGAAGCATGCTGATGTAGAAAAAGGAAACACGTAATATTTTTTAGTTCAGTAAGTACATAATTTGTTAAACGTTACAAATAAAGACAATATTATCATTAATTCGTTTTAAACTTACGTCACTTGATACCAGATTTTTTCGGGACAATATAATTTCATCCGGAACATTTGTCGCACCCTCACACGCCGTCACCCAGTTCATTTCCAAAAATGCATCTCTTGGTGAAACTGTGAGATGTACATCTCCACATTTCGAGGCATCTGAAATCAAGTATTGGTTTTTGATATAAGCACCGATTAGTAAGAACAGAAAGATAAATTAAAAAAAGTTTTATTTAAAAAGCTTTTATAAAAGGTATAGAATTAAAAAGACCCTTTCGGGCTACATCGTAGAACGTTTTTGGATTAAAAAGTCTATCATAAGTGTATTACCTGGAATAAGTATTGCCACACTAAATGCTAAGATAATGATAAATTTTGACTAAGGTTGAAAAAGCAATTTTGCTGGTGAACAAAGTTAAGTGGTCTTTGCTATTTTGCCATTTTCGCATTAAAGCCGTCCATAATAAATTATTGTGTAGTATGTTGGGGTAGCATGTAATGCTGTTTCTAGGACTATAAAATTCTTTAATTTCTTCATTGGAGTGGGTAGTCGTTGGAGGATTTACCTTAAGGTTATATCTTGCATTTAATTTGAAGATAAGGTATACAATCCTCGGGCTTATACTGCAAATTTCATCTCATACTACTCATCAGATGAAGTTAGAACAAATGGAAAAAAAAGAAGTATAGAAAACGAAAAAATGGAAAAAAAATTAGACGAGGAGCGTAAAAAAACAACAGAGAAAACTAATTAGGAAAGAAAACCAAAAGAAAATAAAAAGTTCTCATAATAAAAAAAATAAAAAAATTAGCAAAACTTTAAATAAGTCTGAAGAGGAAAATAGACAACCCATAAAAATGACCTCAACAAAACTAAAAAATGATGGAAAAGTTCACTTTCCTATTGCAAAATAGCAAGAAAATTAAAAAAAAAACATTGAAAGTGTTAATACCTCTACAGGAAAGTAGAACTAACAATATTGACGTTTTTGAGCCTCCATTAACTGAATTTGTTAAAGTTCCTACACCAGAATTTCATTCTCACACAAAATCATCAAGTCCTGTAAATAACCAAAATAATATTGATATTTTCAAGCATTCACCTACACCAGAAGCAAATTTAAGATTATCTCCAATAATATTTCTCTTTCACTTTAAATCTCCACGAAAGAACAAGAAAAAAATTGTACCCAAACGAAAATTATTTGGTGATAATACAAAACAGTCCTCAACAAAAATTACAATTCTGTCACAATTTGTTATCAAATATGACTTAACACTTCGAAAATCGTAACTGGGTATTAAACATTCTTTCGCACTTTAAAAATACAAACTTATTATCTATATGTACTAAATATTACAGAGTATAAGGAAGGCATTAGATGAAAAATGTGTCCTGAATATCATGTAACTAGGTTGTATGGGGATACAGCTCAGGTATCTGTTTGCGAATCTTGTCAGAATAAAAAATAAAAGTTTACTTTGACATGCTGTTATTTTTGTGTAGGTACACACTCATTACAAAATCCTTGCTTACCTAAATAGGTACCTACCTACCTATCTTAAATTACGAGTTAAGTGGTAAAATATCACTTGATGGCAAAAAAAATGATGGCCAATCACTAATACATATCGTGTCAATAACTGGAACAGTGTGGCCAATATTGGGTTTATTTGCACATTTACAAAAGAACACATGTAAAATACTTTCAGACGTGAAGATTAACATAATAAAATTGTACAATATGTAGAAATAATAATAAGATTCCATTTCAAAAATAGTCAAAACAGCCCAGTGTCAAAACATTTCATAGATATATCGACGTGCTCATCTTAAGATTGAAGACTCTAAAAGCAAGATTGGAAATTTTGGATTCGGCACAAGAAACACAAGAGGAGAAAAACTCATGGAATTTCTGGAACAAGAAAACATGTATGTTATGAATACCTTCTACAAAAAAAAACCTAACAGAAAGTGGACATGAGTCACACCTAACGGAACTACCAAAAATGAAATAGACTATTTTCTCTCAAACAACAAAGGAATATTTGTAGACGTCACGACCATAAACAACGTAACAACGGGTAGTGACTATCGTATAGTGAGAACAAAAATAAATATTAACATGAAAGAAGAGAGAAAAAAACAACGAGGATAGATGCCTTTAAACTAAGAACAAATGAAGAGCAATTCCGAGAGGTCTTAGCGGATAAGTTCGATTTTGATACTTCACATAATCAAGATCAAATTGACGAGATTAATAAAAACATAAATAAAAACCTTCTCGCAGCCGGATACAGGTCGCAAAGAAAACAAGGACTAAAGAAGACAAAATAAGCAATGAAACTAAACAACTAATGACGGAAAGAAGACAACTACTAGCGCAAAACAAACGCTATACCCAAGAATACAGAGAACTTAATAAAACAATTAGAAAAGAACTAAAACGCGACATACAAAAATGGAATGAGAAAATAATAGAGCGAGTCGTTGAAAACAACAGAGGCTTAAAATGTCTAAGATCTGCACTGAGAGTTCAGAAAATCATCAAAATTAAAGACGCCAACAATAAGGAAGAGAAGGACAAATATAAAATAACAAATATTGTCGAAGATTTTTACACAACCTCTTACAGCTCGCAAAGCCAGCCAAATGAAACAACAATGGAGAATGTCAAAAGAAAAATAAAAAACGTGGGTTCAGAAGTACTACCAAATATAAAGAACTTCGAAATAGAAAGAGCTTTAAAAGAGCTAAAAAATAATAAAACTCCAGGACACGACGGTATAATTGCCGAGCTCTTGAAAACAAGCAAGACATTAAAAATCTCTGTACTAACAGAGCTATTTAATAGATATATCCATATTTAATAGCAAGATCCCTAAAGACTGGAACGAGAGTCTAGTAATACTCTTACACAAAAAAGGGGACAAATGTGATCTACAGAATTATAGACCTATATCGTTGCTTAGTCAAGTATACAAACTATTTATGAGAATTATTAACAACCGGTTGACCTACAAAATGGACAATTACTAACCGGTTGAACAGGCTGGCTTCCGCAAAGGATATAGTACATCAGACCATCTGCTGACATTGAGAACATTGATAGAGAAGGCAAATGAATACCAACTACCCGTATTTCTTGCCTTCGTCGACTATGAAAAGGCGTTTGATAGTATTGAGATGTGGGCCATAGAACAAGCTATTAATAATTGTAGAATAGATTCGAGATATAGGCAACTAATACATAATATATATGAAAATGCAACTATGATAGTACAACTAGAAGAAAATACAAATCCCATCCCCATTAAGAGAGGAGTGTGACAAGGAGACGTAATATCGCCAAAGCTTTTCAACCTAGCGCTAGAAGACGTCTTCAAAACTACAAATTGGTCAACGTATGGCATTAACGTTAATGGTAACAAGTTAAACCACCTCAGATTCGATGACGACATAGTGATTATAGCGAGCACATTTGAGGAACTGCAAATTATGATGGGGGCACTAGCAGGCAGCTCCCAATACGTCGGCCTAAAAATGAATATAAAAAAAAACAAAAATAATGACAAACACAGATGACCCAGGAATGTATCTACTTAGGCCAAATCCTGAAACTTGACAAAGAGAACCAAAGTGCGGAAATTGCTAGAAGAGCAAGACTAGCAAGGGCAGGATTTGGAAAACTTCGTTGTTTAGGGCAACACTTAAAAACCGCAAAATACCCCAATAATTGAGGAGCAAAGTGTTCAACCAATGCATCCTTCCTATCATGACATATGGATGCCAAACCTGGACCCTAACCAAGGCAAACATGAATAAACTAGCCACAACAGAAAGAACAATGGAAAAAGCAATGTTAGGTATACGACTGTCAGATAAAAAGAGGAACGACTGGGTAAGATTAAAAACAAAAGTCGAGGACATAACAACAAAAATTGCCAAACTTAAATGGAGCTTCACGGGCCATACTGCTCAAAAGACCACACAGACAAAAAGACCAACGTTGGAATACTACAATACAATATTGGAGACCTTACGAAAGTAAACGACCAAGAGGAAGATGAGATGGATTAATGATATTAAAAGAATAGCCGGAACAAATTGGAAACATGTTTCTGGAATGGAAGGAGTTGGGAGAGGCCTATGTCCAAACATGGACGATAGAAGGCTAAGAAGAAGAAGAAGAAGCTCACCTTAAGAGGCCAATAACTGGTGCTTTTACCCTATAAGGAGTTGTTTACTTCATTGTAGGTTTTTTTTAAACTTTGATATACAGTCAAACACTGGGATTTTCCCTTTTATTAGTCAAACAATATTCGCAACTAAATAATCTTGAATAACTGTTTAGACATAAATTTTATTTTGTTAAGCTTAGGTACTTGTGTAGTAAAAGACAAGGCAAGCCTGTCATGATTGATGTAACGGCTGTCAAAATGATAATTTCGCTCTCTTGTCATGCAGCAATAAATAGGTAAACACGTCTCCCTAATTAATTAAAGTTTTTTATATTTGTAATAATAAATGGTACAAGCAGGAATATGGTAAATCATCAATGATTAGCCAGAAGTTCATACATATTTAGTTTTTGGTCCAATTCGAGCGGATGGAATGAATATCTGAAGTAAAAACAGCGAAAATTGTCAAATAAAAATAAAAGGTTAAACACGACATTCAGTGCCAGCCCAGCCGATGTCAGTTTGAAAGGTTTATAAGGTTTATATATTATATATTTATAACGTTACGACATTCAGTGCAGAAGCCGATGTCAATTTGAAAAGGTTAAGGTTACGACATTCAGTGCCAAGGAAGCCAATGTTGATTTGAGGTTATAAAACCATATAAGGTAAGTGACTTTGGTTCATTGTATTTTTCATCTGTGCAACAATGGCTGAGCAAGAGTTAAAGAGTTTAAAATCAAAAAGGGGAGTAGTTAAAGGGAAACTTACAAGGTTTAAGAATTATTTTGATAATATTGATAAGGATTATGTGTCTAAAAAGTTAATCACAGAACTAGAGTTAAGGTTAAGCAAGATTTCACCCTTGTATGAAGATTTTCATGAGATTCAAGAAAAAATTGATGAAATAGAGCAGAGTAATGATGATATAAATGAAATTAACACTTTTGAGACTTCCTATTTCGAACTTGTTAGTG